AGCAAGGCAAATGTTTTCACAGAGGTAGGGGGGAGTTGCTTTCCATTTTAGAATGGGGTGGTCAATTGGCCTCACTGGGTAGCAACAGTGGAGAAAATTCTTGGAGGAGACGTCAGGGTCAGCCAGCCACCTCTTTGGGAGAGAGATGATCCAGGGAGGAGAAGCTTGTACGAAGATTGAGGCAAGAGTGGGCCTAAGGTATTCCAGGAAAAGCACAATTGTTGAAGCAGAGAAAGTGAGCGCTAGAATAGGAGAGAGGGTGGTTGCAGTGGAAATAGGGATTAGGGCTATGCGGGGCTACATCGGCCACTGTTAAGTTCTTTGGCTTTTGCAGAGCATGAACTATGAGTTTCTGAAAAATGTGGACCCTTTGAGCAATCCCTCTGGCTACTTGGTTATGAATGTCAAATTTGAGAGGCTAACCCAAAGAGGAAATTGTCAAAGAATACCTAAAAAGCCTCCATACTCCTGCTTGGTTTCCATAAATTGTGATCTCAGATTTATAGCTAAGGCTGCTTTTTTTTTTTTTTTCGAGGTTACAGGCAATCACAGCAGCTAGACTTCAGTGAATCACAGGCATTCCACCTTTTAAACTGTGTTAATGCAGACAAACTTCAGAATGTAATTGATCCAATTGACTTTCTACCTCATTCCTTCACTGTCATTTTTGTATGTTACTTTCCTTTCCTGGAACTTAAATACCATGTGACCATGAGGCTACCTGGAGTTGCTCAGTCTGGGAAGCTGCCCAATTCAAATTGGGTTGATTTGCTCAATTAAACTCCACTAAGTTAAAAAAAAAAGAAAGAAAGAAAAAGAAAGCCATTGTTTGTTGCATGATGATGCACTTCCTGATCTGGTATAGAGGGCTTCCCAGGACAAAGAAAAAGGGGAAAATGCACTGAGACAAGGAGGTATGGGGCTGCACCCTGGGAGCCAGAGTTTACACTAGCCTCCATCTAGGAGAAGATATCCTCCATCATTCTCCTGGCACCTATGTTAGCTTGCTCTGTCTTACTTCCTCTATGCAACACTGGAGGGATGTCTAAGCCCTTTCTCAGAGCAGACCTGTCTGTTGAGCCCATGGATATAAGCCCTCTTGTATCTATGAAGACTTGACTTCTACAATCATTGCTTCTCTTTTTCCTACATCAACATTCTTTTTCTCTTATGACTCAATATAGGAAAATACTCTAGAATTGCCACATTTTTTTTTTTTGGAGAGGTTTTAGCTATAGGGTGCATGCGCTCGCCAGACAGACAGAGAGAGACAGAGAGACAGAAAGCAAGAAATCACTCCCCAGGGTGGATGGCCACGCCACAATCACTTCTCCTCTGTGCTTCTCTCGGGATCTTGGGCACGCACGCACACGTGCCCGGCATGAGTTTTAAGCCACTGGGTCCGGGACGCGAACTGCGGTCGACTACATGGGAGTCCAGTGACATAGCCAAGAGAGACAGAGATGGTCCCAAGAATTGCCACATTTTTTAAAGAAAGATTTTTGTTATAGGACATGTGCACTCACCAGAGAGACAGAGAGAGAGTAAGCGAGAAATCCCCCCCCCACTCAGGGGGGATGGCCACACCACAATCCTTTCTCCTCCAATCTCCTTTGTGGATTTTGGGCACATGCACACGTGCGCCCAGTGTGTTTCAAGTCACCGGGTCTGGGACTCGAACTGTGGTCAACCAAGTGGGAGTCCAGCAATGTAGCCATTATACCATATGCTGGTCTCAGAATTGCCACAGCTTATAAGAATTACATCAATCATTCCTATCATTACAAATAAAAGTAATTCTTGACATTATCTCCCAACAGTCACTCTGCATTGTGCCCTCATCCACTCATGCACATCATGTTTAAAGAATGATCTATGCTCATTTATTGCCCTCTCATTGCCTCCTCACCTATCTGTGACCAGGCTTTTATTTCCATTATACTCCTGAAAGTGCTCTAGAGAGCACCAGAAATCTCCAGACTACTAAATCCAATGGTTGATATCTCATATAAGTCAACCTCTTAGTACTTGCCCCAGGTCAAGAATTCCTAGCTCTATTTTTTAAAAAGAATTATTCACTTTATTTATTATTATTATTATTAAATTTGCCACAAGGCAAATGGGATCACCAGAGACAGACATAGAAAATGTGAGAAAACAAGCTGCCAGGACTGGGACCCAAACCTGGGCTGGCCATGTGTGAGTCCACCATCTTAACCACCATGCTACCTGCTGGCCCCCAGAATACCTAGTTCTTGAGGAAGATCTTTTGTCTTCTATGTGTCCGCCCTCTCCTGGAGATCCTACTTCTAGCCTCATTTGCTAGATCCTTTTCTTCCCATGTTCATACTAGTGTGCTCTATCATTCAGGCTATAAACAGATTCTGTTTCCACGCCAGTGGCCCATGATACCTAAATGTTTCTAACTCCCAATTTCCCATATATGTTGAGTTACAGACATGAATGTCCCATAGGCATCTCAAGCTTATTGCATCAAAAACTGCACATTCTGGGACCAGCAGTTAGCGTAATGGCTATGTCGCTGAACTCACACGTAGTCGACCACGGTTCGAGTCCCAGACCCGGTGGCTTAAAACTCACGCCAGGCACGTGTGCGTGCATGCCCAAGATCCTGAGAGGAGAACAGAGGAGAAGGGATTGCAGTGTGGCCATCCCTCCTGGGGGGTGATTTCTCACTTTCTGTCTCTCTGTCTCTCTCTGTCTGTCTGGTGAGCGCATGCGCACTATAGCGAAAAAAACTCCCCCCCCCCAAAAAAAAAAAAAAAAAACCCTGCACATTCTGAGCTGCTCTTCACATTTGCTTTGCCCCCAATTTTCTCCATCTGAGAAAATGTCATTTCGGTTCACTCAGTGGGTTAACATAATGTGAGTGCCATGACTCTCAGTTCCCTCGATGTCCTTTATGCACTCCATCTGTCAGGATACCTCGTCAATAATTTCAAAACGTAATTATACACTTGCCACTACCTTCTACCTCAATCAAACTGAAAAAAAAAAAAGACAAGAAATGTCCTATTCAAGAACAATTATCTTCTTTTCTTCGTTAAGTATATCCCTAAGTTGAGGAAGTGCCAGCTATTTATCTGGTGGTTGGAAAAGTCATGATTCATTTTTGCAAAGAAAAAATACGTCATGACATTTTTGACAACCCAATATATATCAGAACTTTTAAAACTCATGCACACAATGCCATTTGGAAGGGCTTCTGGATATCACTGGAACTGTAGAAACTCATGTTCGCAGGCCCTGCATTTTCCGCCATATATAAAATAGAGGGAAAAAAATATCTACCCATGTTAACCACCATACCACTACTGGCCCTTGACATTCATTTAAAACTGATGAAAACCTATTAATTGCTAGAACTATAGAACCCAAGGTGACTAAGTGATTCACTCAGTTCAGTGAGGCTATTTGTACAACAGCAGCTGTGAATCAATCACAATCTTAATAGGCCTACCACAACCTGTAGGAATTCTGAAGGAACACTCTTCCACATCAACCAAACTGGAGAGTGAGATGGGGAGGTGGGAGAACCTATGGCCCAGGCATCTGTCAGGTCCAGCGGTAGGCTTCTCTAGAATTCCCAGGAAGTGGGGAGCTGCATTTGCATGACAGCTTCCATAGGGACCAGAAGTTGCCATAACTATTTCTTGTCCATTATTTGGAATATTGCTCCATGGTCAGGGAGCCCAGGGGGCATTAACTGAAAACAGGTTCCAGTAAGATCTAACATTTGTATTTTTGTTTTAATGCTATAGTACCTGCGCTTTCAGAAAGGCTTTGCAAGTAAAATGGAATCTGAGGAGTGACCCACTGAGTGGAAATATAATTCTACAAAATATTCGCTTCTCATGTACCTGTAAACTAGGAAGCTAACAACTGGATGGTTAGTGATGTCCACTAGAGCTACAAACACACCTAGAAACTTCTTTTAAATTCAGGGGTATAGGAATCTGGAGGGCCTATAAATACCAGCCCAAGGGGGGGGGTGTGAGCCCAGAACCATGTGCCTGATGCCTTAAGATCTGAACATAGCCCATCCTCTAGATGATAGGTACATGATTAAATGCTATGAGAGAAAGGCAAAGGGTTTCATGGGGTGTACCTATGGGAATCTGGCACCACAGCTTTCCCTTTCTTCAAGGGGCTCTGAGTTTGCCCCGTGAGTGAGGTCTGCACATGAGCTGAGTCTCCCCAACAAAGTGGATTAAGGAGGCTCAGGTCCAACATATCTGGAAATATTTTCGTTTAGAAACTCAGCTAAGGATTTAATAAGCTGATCAACCATTTTATCTGTAGGGAACCAGTGATGAATGAACCACAGGTGAACTTGTACTGGTCACATCATATATTTATTGAATTTCATAGTATTTACCCTTACTATAGTGGTACCAGGTACAATTTTAAGTGTGTGGTGGAGTATTAATGAAAAAATATGCTAAAAAAATACCCTTACCTTGTGGAGTTTATATATTCTTGTGCACAAGAAGAACTATGGGTAAAAGTTATATATACCAAACTATCTATGTGGCAAGAAATGAAAATACTATGAAAACAATGAACCTATAACAGATAGTATGAGGGGGACTCAAGTTGAAGGTAAAATGTAACTTTAAATCATGTTATCAATATGCTGGCCCTGCTGCCTCTTAAATCAAATGCTTTGCCTTTGATGCTTAGAGTCATTCCAAGCCTTTGCTGCCATCAAACCCACACCTCATCATGAAAACAAGGAATTTAAATTTAATTGTGGAGTCATTTCTAAGAATCCTTTCTTTTGCTACCAAGGCAGCATAGCATGCTTTTGAATGGACAAGGCAATCCTCCAAAGTGGATTCTTGGTCTCCATGGAACTATGTGGTATCTTAACTGAATTTACCATGGAGTTGTACCTAAATACTGCTTATGCTTACTGAGCTAAGTTTTTAGGCTATCTATTGCTCACATAAAATTCACTAACAGGAAACAAAATTTTTTTATGACAAATTTGAGACTGGGCTCATAGAAATTGCTCTCCAAACATAGCATGATTGAATACTCCCCACTACGACAATATCAACAATGTCATATTTTTGGGGACTGTATCCATCAGGAAGTTTGTGGGAATCCATGGTGAAGAAGATACTATTGTCTATCACCCCATTTCTTCCCTGTAGGCTGGTGATGCAGACCTGCAGTGATGAATGACAGAAATGACTGTTACTGTAACAAACATACTGCCCTGGGACAGGCTCAGCACCTCTTCACTCAGGCTCTAACCTGTAGGTCACTGAATCCATATGTCTGATTCCCAGCCTGGCTGTCACAATATCAGGGGTGCTTAATAAAATAAAATAGAAAATTGGGGGACCAGTAGTTAGTGTAATGGCTATGTCACTGGACTCCCACGTAGTCGACCGTGGTTCGCGTCCCGGATCCGGTGGCTTAAAACTCACGCTGGGCGCATGTGCATGTGTGCCCAAAATCCCGAGAGGAGAATGGAGGAGAAGAGATTGCAGCGTGACCATCCCCCCTGGGGGGTGATTTCTCGCTTTTTGTCTCTCTGTCTCTCTCTGTCTGTCTGGCGAGCGCATGCACCCTATAGTGAAAAAACTCTCAAAAAAAAAAAAAAAAGAAAATAATGGAGGCAATCCTTGCAATTAAGTTCTAGGTTATATAGAGTATTGGTAGAAAAACAGTATTAAAATGCTCTGAGAACAACAGGAAGAAAAACAATTTATATGCAATAGATGATGGGATTAAATTGAATAGAATATGATATGGAACTTGAACTAACTGGTAAAACTGGGTATGCTTTGGGTATCAAACCTGAAAGTGAGTAGAAAAGTAAGTGAAATAGAGGTTAATGCTCATTGTGGGTAATATTCAGAACAGACTTTCTGATTGAAGATCTGGGCTCCATCCCCAGAGGTTCTTATCTGATTGGTCTAAGAGTCTATTCACAGACACATTTACTAAGCACCTGGTGTTAATATTGTGCCAGCCATCTCTGGGGATCAGAGATGGCTCTTCTTTGCAGACATATTTTCTACATATCACAGCACACCCAATGGAACCCTAGGACAAATATCATTAAAGTTAGGACTGGAAGATGCAAATGATAAGTGCAATGTAGAAACATATTACCTCCTCCAGACGTTTACAGAACAAGGGCTTTGCTGAATGAACCTTGATGTTACACGGGCAGGGGAGGGTTGAATACTCAACTTCTACCCAGTCACCGTTGTAAGGCATAAAATCTGAAACATTCATGAAGAAATGTTAATGCAATTAATTATATGTTAACTAAGGTCCTATTAAATTGCAGAAGAAACTTGGATGTTGTAATATCCTAAAATGGCTTCTACTACACTTAATGTACACTTTGGACATGTTTATGAATACAACATATATATCTTTCCATCAGAAGGGAAGTTTATAATCCTTGAGACACGGATTCTCCTCTGCTGATTGTCCAGTGTCAAATAGGATGCATTACATCACAGTCAATTTTTGGGAGCAGCACAGGATGTATTCAACACTTAGTCATGTTCATAGTTCCTTTGGACTGGTAATTAAGTTCATAGTAAGACATATAGTTTTCCTGGCTACTTGTGCTCAAATCATGCACCTGCCACTTTTTTAGTTTGCTACCTTAGTCAAGGTGATTAACCTCTCAGTGCCTATTTTCTTCAACTACAACATGAAAACAACCATAATGTCCTCTTAAAATAACTTTACTGTGCTAGTTAATCAGTATGTTAAAAACTCATGTAATAGGCCAATAGGTAGTGTGGTGGTTAAGGCGCTGGATCCCACATGTCCTCTTCTGCAGTTCGAGTCCTGGACATAGTGCTTTGAAAATCATGCAGAGTACATGTGCATATATACCCCAAATCCCAAGAGGACAATGGAGGAGAAGAAATTTGCGCTTAACCAACCCCTTCAGAGTTATCTGTCACTCTCCCACCCTCAGTCTCTCTCTGCCATGTGAATGTGCCCCATAACAGGAAAGGACAAACAAATAAACAAACAAAAAGCAAAACAAAACAAAACTCATGGAATAAAGTCTGGCTCATAGTAACCACGAAATAAATGTTGATTACTAATTGGGATTGCAGTAGTACAAGGAAATAGGAGTGAACATTTAAGTTTTGGGAGAAATGGAATTAAAATAGGAGTCTATTTTGGTGAAAAAAACTTTGAAATCCATGTTATTATTTTCATTAGACATACTGTCAATGAATCCTTTGGAGATCCCCAGTATTGGTACTTTAAGAATGAATCAGGGAGCCAGCAATTGGCATAGTACTTAAGGTGTTGGACTCCCATATGGTCTACCTCAGTTTGAGTCCTGGACCTGGTGGCTTGAAACTCATGCCATGTGCATGTGCATGTATGCCCACAATCCTAAAAGGAGAATGGAAAAGGAATTGTAGCATGGCCAAACCCTAGGAGTGGTTTCTCAATTTCTCTCTGTCTCTCTGTGTCTCTGATGAGTGCATGCAACCTATAGGAAAAATCTCTCTATATAAAATAAAATATAGGGACAAGCAGTTAGCATAATGACTATGTCACTGGACTCCCATGTAGTCAACTGTGGTTCGAGTCCTGGACCTGGTGGCTTAAACTCACGCCGAGTGCGTGTGCGTGCGTGCCCAAGATCCTGAGAGAAGAACAAAGGAGAAGGGATTGTGGCATAGCCATCCCCCCTGGGGGGGTGATTTCTCACTTTCTGTCTCTCTGTCTCTCTCTGTCTTTCTGGCAAGTGCACGCGCCCTATAGCAAAAACTTCTCCAAAAAAAAAAAAAAAAAAGAAAAAGAAAGAAAGAAAAAATACAAAATAAAATAAAAGTGAATCAGTTTTCACAGGATGTCTAGTCCAGTGACAAACTTTTAATAGGTATCTTACATTTATAGTTAAAAATACATAATTTCAAACAGAATTTTAGTAATAAGTAAAAAGGAAATCATGAGATAATAAAGAACCTGGAAATATATGGAGCCACTGGAAATATCAAACATAGCAGGTGGAGTGTGATTAAAAGCTACAACCACTCCTGAAAAGTGGCAGCATTTACAAAGCTAAACATTTCTTTATCCTATGGCCTAGCACTGTAGAATGACAGAAGACACTGAATTGGATCTCTTCCCTCCTTATGTTAACCCTACTACATTTCTTTGGTGTTGTACAGAATATCTCTAAGCAGATAAATCCAAAATGTATGTACCTCCAGCTGTAAGTGACCTTAGATTCAATTGTCTATGTGTCTATGGAACAGCATCATATCTAAAGCCAGTTTATTGCTCTACCTTGCACTCGCAACATTCCCCTAATTTCAGTCTGCCACAGCTCAAATCGGCAACTTCCCTGAGCCATGATCAAACCAAAACATTGCAGTCATCATTAACTCCCTTTCTTTCACACCAATGGTCCATGCTATCAGCCAATGCTTTTCTAAATTCACAATATGACCAGAATTAAATCCATACTTAGAGTCTCATTTTCTATGATGTCATGCACGTTATCCATCAATATGATCAAGAGTAGTAAAACGTTCTTCTAACCAATTTTCTCACTCCACACTTGCCTCACACAGTCTCTTCTCAACAAACAGAGTGAACATCTTAAAACAAAATCTAGGTCAAGTCCTGGTTGTACACTCAAGAAAAAAAAAAAAAAAACTTAAACCTGCCTGGAAGGGCTGAGCTAATTTCTTTTCTATATCAAGCCTTCCGACAGCTGCATCAGGCTCAGATAGCATGGACAAAGTATAACTGTGGGTAAAAACAAAATCTTAGAACAAATTTGCTGATTAAAAATAAATCTTGGGACCAGCAGAGATAACACAGTTGTTACATTGCTGGACTCCCAAATGGCCGACCATGGTCTGAGTCATAGACTCAGAGGCTTGAAAATCATGCTGAGTATATGTGTGTGCATACCCAAGATCCCAGGAGAATAGAGAGGAAAAGATTGTGGCATGACCATCCCTTGTCTGGGAGTGATTTCTCACATTCCCTCTTACTGTCTCTTTCTCTCTCTCTCTCTCTGGCAAGCATATCCATACTAAGGCAAAACCTTCTAAAAAATGTTAAAAAAAAAAACTCCCAACATTGGACAGATGGGAACACAAATACACACAAACACACTTAATGTAGCAACTTTATCAAAATTTATTTGGAAAGATTTTAAGCTTGTTGAAAATAATATCCTGTACACTCCTAGGGTTTTACAATGATTAGAATTTCAGTACTTGTATGAATAAAAAATTTACCCAAATATTCCTGACTGTAATCACTCATGACATGTCATGGTAGCATGTTTTATAATTTTGTCTGTTTGTCCTATATTATGCCTTATTTTCAATTCAAAAGGCCCATTTCTGATACTGAAGAGCTGTTTACTACAGCCATGCACCTTGCAGAAATATGTGTAGTATAAAAAACAACTCAAAAAATGCATTATATTTTCTGAAAAATGTTAAACCATACCTTCAGAAACAATGTCTAGGGAGAAATAAATTTCCTCATCAATGCAGACAATATTTGCAATCACAGAGGTAACACGAGCAGTTATAACTCTGGTTTCAATGTTTGCTGGTCTAGAGTCATCAATATCCTCAACGAGAACATCCACCTGTGAGATAAGGGCACAGTTACTCCCAAGAAAAAAAAGGTAAAAATGGACACTTCCATATGCTTGAACCATTGGTGTTTGTGGATTATTTTAAATGACCATCCTGAACTACAGTGAATTATTTAATATGAGAAATAGATCTTAAACATGAGATTATGGTAAAAATAATCCCAGTACTTCATGGATTGTTAAAATGTACCAGAGGACCAGCCAGGTGACATGGTGGTTAAGGAAGCTAGAACTATATAGGTGACTGCATGCTTACACTCATGGACTGGGAGGCTTGACAAACACACACGGTGTGTGTGTGTGTGTGTGTGTGTGTGTGTGTGTGTGACCAAAATTGTGTGAGGAGTGAAAGAGAAGGGATTGTGGTGTGGCCATATCCTCCAAGGTGGTGATTTCTCACTTTTTCTCTCTCCCTGTTTCTGTACTGCAAGCACACTAGAGCAAAACTGACAAGTACAAATAATGCACCAGAAAACCTTAATCACCTACCAACTTTTAATGCACTTATAGCATAGCACTCAAAGATAAATACCTTGTCATATTTCCATTCTAGGAATTTATAATTTTATGATGGAAAATTTAAAAATATCCCTAGTGTTAAACAATTTGTGACCAACAGTATGAAACAAGTTCAGAAACAGTTCCTGAGCATTCTCAGGTAAGAAAATTTCAGAATGAGAGAAAACAGAGGCATCATTTGGAAGAACTAAGATTTCAGCTGGTTTGTGAAAGGAAAGAAAGATTTTGCCTGGCAAATGGAGGTGGAGTGGGGGTAGGAGCAGGGAGAAAGAGGAAAACCAACCAGAAGCCAGGGGAATAGAGAACAAAACCACAAAGTTCGAGATCCAAGTCCGGAGGCCAGCAAGTAGCATGGTGGTTAAGGTGTTGGATTGCCACTTGGATGACCACATTTCAAGTCCCAGAACCTGTGGCTTGAAACTCACGCTGGGTGTGTGTGGGAGGATGCCCAAAATCCTGAGAGGATAATGGAGGAGAAGGTATTGCAGCATGGCCATACCCACTGCAGATGATTTCTCACTTTTCCTCTCTCTGTCTCTCTCCAGCAAATGTATGCCATCTATAGCAAAAACAAACAAACAAACAAAAACAGAAACAAACACACAAACAACCAAAAGTTCCAAATGCAGGTGAAGAAGCAAAGGGAAAGCTGAAAAAATAACCTCAAATGAAGAGGGCTTCAGTAATCCAAGTCAAAATAGAGTTGTGAATTTAAGGTTTGTGCAGAAAAGATGTAACTATATTAAATGTAGAACTATGTCTTGTTCTGTATTTAATATAAGAAGAAAAGGGGTTGCAGGGAGTCTTTTTATCAATTCCTTCCTGTTGTCTGCATGGCTGACCTTCACAGACACAATTTTCTCATGATCAACACTTGTAGCAGTCCCCTGAAAGGCTGGGCACACACCTTTCTGACACCAAGGGACCATTATCCTCCTGCCAGTAAACTGTCCCAGATATTCTCTACTTCTACCCAATCCTGTCCTACCTTCCATTTCCCCTAGACCTTCCTCTGCCACCCACCTTTAACCAATGTGAACTTTCTAAATTACTTACTCATTGGTCCTACTTGCTGCTATTGTTAAAGTCAATCTGCTTCCTTAGATGTAGTGATCGGTTTGTCACTTCTGTCAGTGCCTGCTGCTGATGGGATCTGGATGCATGTCCCAGGGCCTGACCCCTATGCTGTGCTACATTAGTTAGATTAATAAGTTCCTTTCTCTTTATAATGCTGGCATTGCACTTGTGCTCCTTTTCTGACAAGTTCTAACAAAATTGCTGCATTCTCACTAGCTTCTGATGAAATGCAGATATTATTAGAAAATGTCATTCCCTTCTCATATTTGCAAAGATTTTAGATTCTGATCTTTGCCAGCATTTGAAAACAGGCAGTCTCACAGCTGCTGAGAAAACCCTTTAGTACAATTAGGCTAATGTATATTTTTATTACAGTCACTGAAATGGTAACTATTTTGAGAAGGTATTTACAGGACTCTGTAAATCTACAAAATTCACTAAACTGTACGCTTAAGAGAATATTGTGGCATGTAGATTATACCTCCAAAAAGGTATCTTGAAAATGTTTAAAATATACAGTGTTGACATACCAATCCCACGACTGTGAATGTATCCCAAATAATGTTTCCTTATCTGATAAAAAGAAGTCCTATATAGAGTCCAATAAATATCATCATTAGTCTTATTGTTTAAATACTAGAACAAATAAAAATTGTTTCTCTTAAAATGACTAACCAATACAGATATTGCCAGAAAAGGACTTGGACACTCAGGTAGTGAAAGATGCAATTTCACTATACATCTGTGTCACAGTTCACATTATAAGCCTAGATTAGTGCAAGAAAAGAAAAAGCTCACTAGATTAAGAGACAATGCCCACGCTCATACACATCTTACTCTGATTGCTTTAAATTCATGGGATGCTTCTCCTTTTTCCAATACTGCTGTAACTTTCTGTCCCACTTTTAGAGGGATATTACCGGTGACAACATCACAACTGAAGTAGATCGACTCATTGATCAAGGCATAATCACTACAGATGCTGGTTACAACTCCTTGCATAGTTTTCAAATAGATGACACCTATGAGATCATTAAACAAAGGTCACATTAATAATCTGACACACAAACATCCATTTCAAAAATCCTACCCTGACTGCTAAGGGAACCCTGGCCACATATCTGAACTTCTGTGATCCTATTTTTATTTGCTAAATCAAGATAATAATTTCTGCTTAGGAGGGTTTTGGGGACTATTAACTCACATATAAGCTGTTAAGAACTGCAAGTGCTTTGCTAAATTATAGTGTAAACATTTGTTAGGATCACCATACCTGCATATGGAGAATCTTCGTTTTCACTATTTTCTACCATCATAATTTTCACCAATGTAATGAGTAGCAAAATCTGTAAATTCTCAAACATTTCAGCAGACAGAGCACAAAAAGGTATCTGAACACAAGTTTAACCCACATCACAAATGAATCATTCTCTCCTTTTTTCCCCCATGTTTTCTACTGGAAATATTAGTTAGAAATATGTAGGATCTGACCAAAGTAATCTGCCTGTACAGTAGTCCACTGACCTGCAGATATATGACTTGTTCTGGCTTCAAATACTTGCCTGATAGGGATACCAGACCATACCAGCCCTCAAACTAGGGAGTTTCTCACCTACTAAGAAGACTAAAAAGTCAGGGGTTGCACAGGGCACATGGGGAAACATGGGAGCCAAAGAGTCTGGAAGGGCATTTTTGCCAACACCATCTTAATTTAAATCCAGGGACCATTTCAGGGCTTTGGTCCATGCCGATCCAGCTGTCTGGAATAGTAGCATGAAGCACTCCCTACTACCACCCCCCCCCAACACACAAAAAGAAGATGGAGCTGCTTCCACGCACTGAGCCTGCCTAATATCGTAGACTTCCCATTAAGGGCAAAGAGATCCCCTTGAGGAGGCTCCTTTTTATAGGACTAGGTGATAGATCAAGGGGTACCTTGTGGGAGCTCTGCCTGCTGTAGGTGCAGCCTCTGAGCAGAGTCCGCCCCCTCCTGCAAGTCCACAGCACACTGCAGAAACCTGGGCATGGTGTCCTCGTCACCAGCGTGATGCCTGGGCCTTGCACAAGAGACGAAGCACGAGGCCTTTGTCAAGATGCCTCAGGACAGAGCTGCCGTAGGGGTGCAGTCTGCGGCTTCTCTTCCTTGGGTCTCTGGGTGGCACTCAAGCACTAGAGAGTGTTCCAGAGGAGGGAACCTCCCAGGAGAGACCCTGTCTGCCTTCCAGACTCACAAGACCCTAGCCCTCAGGGACATTTCCGAGGCCAAGACAATGGCGTCCGAGGCGCTGATGGGAGGAGCTGTGAGTATCCACACCCACGTCCTTCTATTGGCCATGGAGCCTGTATGGTCACGTGTTGCTTCCCCATTGTTTGATGGCAACAGGGGCGGGCCCTGTAGAAGCCCACATTCAGGGAGGAGCGCATGAGCAGTCCTTTGGAGTTTCTGGGAGTGGCGCTGGGATGCTGGCTCTCCTGTGGCCAGTAGGGGGCAGTGGGTATGGACATGAGCAACACGGGCTTTCAGTGCTGAGGGCGACATTGGAGTGGCGTCAAGAACATGGGTTGAGG